TTTCTCTCTTTCTCTCTTTCTCTCTTTCTCTCTTTCTCTCTTTCTCTGTCTCCTTCTCCTTCTCGTTCTCCTTCTCCTTCTCCTTCTCCTTCTCTTTCTCTTTCTCTTTCTCTTTCTCTTTCTCTTTCTCTCTCTCTCTCTCTCTCTCTCTGTATTGTTTTCCTCTGGCAACTGTCCTTAGGCTCATGGCCTCGATCCAAGGTGCATTGTATAGCACCAAGTCATTGTACATGAACACTACGATGGAGTAAACACGCAATTGTACAGAAGGTTGTATCTTGACACCGTCCCTTGGGTTGATTCATTGTTGAATCACACCATCCATACAAACATTGTTGAAACAGTAAAGGAACATTATTGTACATAAACAGTTCAAGCATTGTAGACAAGTCTGTACATCTTTTCTGCCATTAATTTCCAGCGTTGTTGCCCTTCTCATCGTTGTGCTCGTATGGCATTGTCATAGCTGGAGATCTGCAGATTGTCGGACCTTTGTTCTAGCCCTGCGTGTCCTCCATACTGTCTTCTGGAGATTGTCTGGGACGCTTTGTCCCTTTCTCCTCTTCTTCATCTCCTGACTTCTCCATTTTGCTCTCATTGTATAGGACTGCTCGGTCCTCCCACAAGGAGATTGTCGAGTTTGTGGGAAGTCGACGCTGATTGTGGTAGTCTGGAATCGTCATCTCCATGGCTATTGTTGCCCTTGAAATTGTTCTCGAGAAAGTCGATCCCGATTGTCAGCGCTCGTGAGCTGGGAGGCGGCTGCGGTCAAAATGATTGTCGACAAATTGTCAACTAAACATGCATTGTCATCCAAATTCAAAAAAGCAAAACTTCAAACACATTGTTCATCAAATCGTTCTCCGAAACGACGGAAAGAAAGCCGGGCTTATTGTGAGACTCAAGATCTTGTAGTACATATTGTCTATGACATAGTATGCACATAGTAGCTAAAGTAGTGTGCCATGGCTTGATGCCCCGTGTGTGTGTATTGTACACGCATAGATGCTGCCATGGTTTTGAAACTGTTTGTACGGCCGTTGTTCAGTTGTGGGCATTGAATGCCCGCCATGTAGAGGTGTTTGTTAAGCACCTCTGCCGGGACATACTTTGTCAGTATGTCTGCTGGGTTGTCATGTGTGCTGATCTTGTGTATTGACAGTATCCCGCTTTGTACCAGTTGTTGTATGAAGAGGTACTTTAAGTCTACGTGCTTTGCTTTCTTTGATGAGCCAATTCTTGTTGCTATGCTCTTGCCGCATGTGCTGTCAGTGTGTATGCGAACGTTCACCTTTGTTGTTGTTGCTTCCTTGATGAAGTTTGCTATATGTAGTCCTTCTTGTGCTCCTGTGCCAATTGCATGAAGCTCTGATTCTGCTGATGATAGTGCTACTACTGCTTGTGTTCTGCTTCCAAATTGTACCGCGGATCCCGTCATTGTCACGATGAATCCACTTGTTGATTTTCTTGTGCTTGGGCATCCTGCCCAGTCCGCATCGACATAAATGTTGAGGTCGATGGGTTCCTTTGTCTGTGGTGTATGTGTTGTCCTCAGGATCATTTTGTAGTGTTGTGTTTCCTGAGGTATCGTAGGAGGTGTTTCACCTTGCGTAGGCTTTGTTGTGTTGGTTGTTGTAGGTCTCGTGCCAGTTCTTGTGTTGCAAAGCTGATGTCTGGTCTTGTGTAGGTCAGCCATTGAAGCTTTCCTACTGCTCTCCTGTAATCTGCATGTTCTTGTGCATCTAGAGGTGCATCATCGTTTGTGGATTGTTTCAGGGTTGCCGTCCCTGGAGCTGATGCTGGATTGCTTGCTTCCATTTTTGTTTTGTTCAGCAATGTGGTGATGTATTCTGGTTTGAGGCTCACCTCAAAGAAGTCTCCATTGTTGTGGATGTCTCTGCCAAGGAATTGGATTGTCTGACCAATTCCCAATGTGCCGGTTGGTCGTAGTAGTACATGCTTCTGTACTTCTTTGCATGTCTTGTCGACTTCTTGTTGTTGTTCCAGGAATAGTAGGTCATCCACATAGACCATCACAAACATTGTCTGTTCATTGTTCCTGTACACGTTGGGTTCACTTGTCAGTCGAGACAGTCCAATTTGTTGAAGGACTTGTGCAAAGTGATCCTGCCAGGATTCTGGACTTGATCGTAGTCCATAGATTGCTTTGTTGAGCTTCCACACTGTGGTTGTGTAGTGACCACTTGGGTATAGTTCTGGTGGTGGCCACATGTAAAGATTGTCTGTCGCTGCTGGTGCATGTAGGAATGCTGTTGACACATCTCCTGCTTGTATCGTCCAGTGGTTGTGCTGCGCCATTGTCAATAGGATGCGTAAGATCCCAAAGATTGGCGTGCTCGCATAGATGTTGTCAAGGTCTTGGATTGTTTCCAAGTAGCCTTCGGCTACTATGCGACATCGCACTTCATCTTGTTTGGGTTTGTTGACCCACTTGGATTCTATGATCTTATTCTTGTGTTCTTCTGGGACATCATTGTAGTTCATCTCTGTGAACACACCACTGGCACTACCA